GGCATAAGATGAATAGAGTGGGTGGCTCAATAGTCTCCCGTAGGATGAAATATATCTTCATAATTTAATAAATTTGCATCGCAATATGTTGATGTTTTGTGAATTTATTCAGCCAGTTGGCTATTGTCGTCCTTTAGTCAGTTACGATTGCATGTATTACAGCCATTCTTTCCTTTTGCTCCTATATGTTTTTGGCAGCCAAAGCTGTTGAAAAATCGTTGTTAATGCTAAATTTCTTATATTTATACATTTATCTCCAGTCGCCTCTCAAAACACCGATCAGATTCAAATCCGCGTTCATATATTGCATTTCTTGTTGCGCACTTTCTGAAAGAGTGTCCAACTTTAAACGAAACTAAACCTTACCGATCGCGACGTTTTCAGTGCTTTGGTACAAAGCTATAGCACATTCGATCAGTTGCGTCGACATCGCCGAAACGTCACCAACACATCCACTTAATGACCACCGGGTAGCTCACACATTATCACTGGTGCCGTGACGCTGACACATCTACAGCTGCAAAGAATGTTGCGAACCCCAGTAGATGATTGTCCCTGATTGCTCGGCTGTTTCGGTCGCGGTTCTACGAAGCATTACTTTGTTTCTCGAACAATCTGATATGGTTAAAGTGATCAAATATTGTCACTCCCTTCAGATAGCGAATAATGAAGAATTGCACTTAACTAAATGTTTATGTGCCTATATCTATGAGTAGTTTTATTATATTTTTTTTCTTTTTTTAACAAAACTGTTCTTCGCTTACATAATGCGTACGTCAAAAGGCATAGATAAGAGTTACTTTTTTATGGTGGTTCTGAAACAAATCTTTGGAATTCTACCAAAACCGTTTGACACTGGATCTCCCAACCCAAACTAAATTTATCAACATCACAAGTTAATCCATAACGACAACGCGATATAGTTGTAGGCTGCTCGAGTTTTTGCGCCTTACATCGTCCGACATTTCTTCCCCAAGATGGTGGCTACGTTTGAACGCCTGATGACTGTAGAACCAAATAATCAAGAAGTACTGTATAGAACCGAAAAATCGAAATTCCCAAATTCCAACGTATCAACGTCTTCTTTCTGCCGAATCTTCCACGAGTTATGCTGCTGCAATATTGAATCAAGAAATGTTTGTACCACATATATGTGCTTGCACTGTCTGCCGTCGACTCCAACAGAGCATTCGGAAACACCAATAACCATATTTACCGAATACAAACTTTCAACTCTATCAATTTATCATGTAAATTCTTGTGTGACGGCGAGACTTTGAAAATTTTGAGTTTCCTGAAGTTTGATTAGTTGAAATTTTAACGCTAATGGTATAACAGTTTGACGATTTAGAAAATTAAATCTTCCTGCTAAGTGGAATCGGAATTATAACATTTTATTTGAACCTGTAAATCTTTAGATAATTAGTTGTACTGTTGACCTAGGAGTAGTTGGTTGGTTTTTGCGAATTTTCGATGTTTGTCGAATTTATAAATGTAAAGTACTGCTTTCTTTGACATGTTTAAATGCGGGTGCTTGAGTTGAAGTGTCAGTCCATCTTCAAGCTTTGAACAAAATTTTAAATTTCATGGCAAGCTTTCTTAAAATTTATTTCAATTGTTTGTTTCATTCGTAGCAAAACCTTTAGCTGTGGTTTCTAGTGGGTTTCACGTTTTCTAAACTTTTGCGCTAGATCAAAGATTTAATCTTCAGGAAAGTGTTAGTAATGTATTGATAAATGTATCAAGTTATGCCCGAAAAAAGTGATTACACCTTGTGCCCATTAATGCACTACATTGCCCTCAGGTGAGACAGGGAAAAATGCAGACCTAAGGTACATACATAAGATGAAACCTGAAGCCTAATTGCATCATTTATTAAAGCTGCGATACACGCTAAAGTTTTGCATTTAACTGATTTTTGAGCAAGGTGCCGTTGGACGTGTAAAAAATGATAATGAAAGTGCTATCGTCAGAATGAAAGATAGTGCCTTTTTTACAAAAAATATTCTGTATTGAGGCTCTACCCCCGCCGATTCCTAAATTGGTTTTTAACTGATTCGATAAGTTTAACGGACTGCGTCGGAGTCCATCTTTTTCTGCGATTTTGGTTTCCGTAATTCTGTGCCAAAATGAGGCTTACTCATCTTAAAATTTCGCACTTTTCATAAAATTCTTTTTTGCTGTTGCTAACTTTTGGTTATTTATTGAGAGTGCTGATAGGGTTGCCTTATAAACAGGATCATTTATGCTTGTCATCATTTGAGGTGTACGAGCAATGATGGCAGAGTTTAGCATTTCTTTGTTGACCCAAAACAACGGAGAAGGAGCATTGCCTTGGTCACGAAGTGGCATTAAACACTGTTCTTCAAGGTACCCTTTTTTGGAGATCTACTCAGATATTAAATTCATATACATTCCTCCCTAATTCTAAATTTCAGTGTTCAGGGTTCTCAGTATGAGTATGAGTTGTCAAGTCGGTATTCTCTCCATGAAGTGAAACGTTACAAACTTCTTAATTCTAATTTTGTAATTCGGTGATGGCAAGTTTCCGTTGAGATTCTAATGAACGGACGAATCATTCAATGAACTAACTCTTGCTTGTATTCACTACGATTGTTTTTGTCGATTTTTTAAATCTTTTATGAAAGTAATTGTTATTTCATCTTATTTAGATATAACGACAACATGGTTCAGTGGCAGAAACCGGAAAATGCCCTACAACGGGCAAACGGTAAGTGGCGAATATGACTTAAGTTTCAAAACCTGTGTTGGAAAATTGTTAAAAATGTTCGTTTCAGAGCTGCTTAATGTCGGTAAGAAGATGCACGCGCTTGAAACGCTGCATGAGGTGATCAACGCGCCGAAGCATCGTACGTGGTCGAAAACGCACGAGGTGATCATGGGCAAGCATCTGGAACTGTGCGTCGAACTCCGCAAGCCTCAGATGGCAAAGGACGCATTGTTTCAGTACCGTCGCATCTGTCAACAGGTCAACGTGAAATCGCTGGAAGACGTTATTCTCGCTTTTCTGGAACAAGCGGAGAAAAAGGCAGAGGAAGCGAAACAGGAATCTCATGGCATGGTTGAAGAAGTGGCCGAAGATTTGGACCAAGCCGAGAGTCCGGAGAAGTAATTGATCCATATTCTCCTTTGCATCCTAATCTCCCTACTACTTTAGACTACTCTTGGCGGCAGTATCTGGCGAAGGGGCCCAGGACAGGGCTGACCGTTCTGTATTAAGCCCCTGGTTGCGGTTTTTGTGGGAGTCGTATCGCCAGTGCCTCGAACTGTTGAGAAACAACATCCAAATGGAGCTGCTGTATCACAAAGTAGCGAAGCTGGCGTTCCAGTTCTGTCTCAAATACCAGCGCAAAGCTGAATTCAGGAAATTGTGTGATAACGTAAGTGCGTTCCAGTAGTTAAGAACATGAAAAGAGTTAACAGTAAAAACAACGTTGCACTTAGCAGTTGTGGGTAATTTGGCCGAATTGTGCAAAGTTACCAACGTTGAGCTCCACCAAAATCACATTCCTGCTGTTCAGAAATCAATGGAAAAGGGTAAGAAAGACTGTAGCCATCGGGATGCTGATCTTATCTCCCTTACGCTCCCATGTTAGACACCGTTTGTGGCGTCCTTTTCATAGAGCTTATGATCAGAAGCGGTGCTTATCTCTGCCACCAAACAGAAGTAGACTAGTTTCAAGGTAGTGCTTGCAGCTATGTGGCAAGTACAGCGTGCAATCTCTTGTTTCCTTGCCTAAAAAGTGTTATTCGTTTACCTACTTTGGAAGGATGAAAGGCGAGTGACCACAAAGGGCTAGAAACTTTGCAGACTCCGTCGTTCTACTGACAGGACAACGATGGCGGGCATCGTTAGTCCTTGGTGTTAGACCCAGTATTATTCTTACATGTCGATAACACAAGCAGAAACAGCAAAAATAATGAGGCGACAGTAGAAAGCAGTGATGGATAAAACAATGGTAGGAAACGACGCCAGGGACCATGGACAGAAGTAATTATAAAGCAGAGTAGTTCAAGTGATTGAAAATGAATAAAGAAGGTAATCAATCGACGAGAAAACAAGTTAAGTGAAGTAGCGAGGTGGTCCTCAAAAATATGCAGTTGCTAAATAACTGCTGATGAGCAGTGCAGAATCGTTTAATGTAAAGAATAGGACTGTTGCCAGCAACGCTCTTTATAGACTAGGCACACGATTTCAACGAAGTTGAAGGCCATTTATTTATAAGATTCAAACCTTAAATGATCATGAAATAAACAGCAGAGATGATAACAGCATAACAAAAAATGTTACATAGAGCAAACGAATAGTGTATATTAGGAAAATGAATAACGGTAAGTAAGAAGCAAAAAGGTTAAAAGTAGTGAAAGTAAGAAAAGTTGATTTACTAGCGTACGTAAACATTTTCAGGTAAGCAGTTTGCGTGAAAGTGTTGGTGCAACAGGTCAGCACTTAATTAGAACAAACGATGTATTTGAAGCTTACTTTGGGAGATTGGATAAGAATTAAGAAGAAAGTAGCATTTTAATCGTTAGATTTAGGACCTTGTTTCATGCATTTTCTGATGTAGCGCTCTGCCCATTTGAAGCAATAGACAAGGAGTGACTACTTTTTTATCAGTATCTGCAAATAAGTGATCGAGGTCCCGGGTCTCGTTTCTATCTTCGTTTCCTTGATAGACCCCTGGAGGGCTTCTTTCCTGCATATTGCTGCTTCCTTAACTACGTCAGGTGATTGAAAAGCAAGTGATGCAGCCGCCATTAGATCCCTCTCTCTGCCGAGTGCCAGGCTGGCACTGTAAAGACCGAGTTGTTCTGACCTAATACAGAAAATAACTGGTAGGTTTTTTTATAGAAACCTGCTAGTTTTTTACAAAGATTATAATCAACATTGATGTGGCGTGCTGCAGTTTCACCAAAATCAGATTTAAGGCTAAGCTTTAGATCTAGTGCTAAGCGTTTCCTTAGCTGTGGTAAATGAATACAGTGAATGAGCAAGTAGCAAAAATGAAATGGGAGTACGTAAAACAGTGTAATTAAAAATTAAATAATTTCTGAGGCTCATACCGATACCATGCGGTAGATGAGTTGAGGGTGATAAGTTTTCTGATTGCATGGCTGGTAGCACGAGAAACAAGAAAAAATTTTATTTATCATAATTCCAACGTTTCAGGTTTCCAACTTAAAATTATTAAGCGTGTACGCGACTGAGTGTACACATAAGTAAAATAATTGACTAAGTATATATTACCTAATCCTGCAAGTGCTAACGAGAAGCAGCCACTCTCTTGAACACTATCAAGTTTGATGAAAATTTTTGATTTCTGATTTGTTAAAAATGGGAGTCACTTATACAACCGACCAGTTCTTGGTAGTTAAACTACACAATTAAATACATATGTTATTTAAAGCACCCACACGTTTCATCTGTTCCGCTTGCTGGAATAAATAAATTAAGTTATCGTCAATGTCATACCTCATTAAATAGTGCAGTTTTCGATTACCTATAACAACAGGTAATTTTTTATGTATTCCTACTGATTGCTATAATTATACTATTTAGAAGAAATATATAACCTCTCGTAAATTATGTATTACTATGACTATAATATGTTTTGTCGTATTTTCTGCTGGTAACCTTTATGCTTATAGCTTCGAGCTCATTTAACTCAGATCCAAAAGTCCCCACAGACACATTATAACGTCAAACTATCCAATCCTGAAACGATTATGTTGCATCAAGATACAAGGTTGTATCAGCTGGACATCGCTATTCAGCTCGAATCGTGGCAAGTAAGAAATACTTTTCAAAAAATTCAATTTTCAGATTTATTTTAAAAAAATTAAATAACTATATAATTACTTCATAGCTGAATTTAGAATAAAGCACTAGAGATGGTCTTATTTGATTTAAAAAAAACATTTTACCATTATATTATCTTCGTTTAGGAGGCAATCAGGACCACCGACGATATCCAGCAGCTGATATATTTTAGTAAAAGACTTCTAAAGCCTCAGTCCCAAGCGAGTTATTACGAGAAACTATCCTCGATATACTGGAAGGCCAATAACAAACTGTTTCATGCCGCGGCCCTCTTGAAGCTCTTCCAGACTTTCAGGGACTGGAAGAAGAACTGGGTAGAAAAATCTGGTGAAGAAGCTTCGAAGTAAGCGTGAAACAGTTCATTGTTATTTGATACTTAGTATTGTTCAGCATGGCTTCCATTTTATATCGATAAAAGTCTGATATTTTATTTTGACTGAAAGTATATAAAAGTATACATTTACTAGATAAAGCACTAAAAAAATATAAATCGAACGATACATGGCATTGGAGCGGAGAAGTCATCTCTGTGGATTTTGTCCAAAGATTTAATCGTTTGGGTATGCTGTCCCTATGGACGTCAGTAAATTTAACCTTCAGTGGTTTGATCGATTAGACATGCAGTCCGGAATTCAGACCACAATAGTTTCAGAGTACCTTGAAGGAGTAGTCACAATAATAGATGGTAGATTCACTGTGTTTTACGTTGGGAACAAAATATTATTTCATTATAATCTTCACTGTTGTTTTTAATATTGTAGCTAAAAGCATTGACCAACGTTTTAAATCTCATAGTAGCTCTGAAACGTTTGTGGCTTCGATATTTTAGCTTGTTTTCGTTGATTTTAGTTGATTTAATTCTCTATATGAATTTTGGATCACAGCGGAACCTTACAAATGTGCGGTATATCAGCTTTAAAAAATATTAATTTATGACTGATTACATTACAATAACCGCTATTGATTGACCCTTCTTCGTAATTAGCGGGGTTCGCCATTGCCAAATCTCGATGCCGCCACTCGCCTGTCCAGTGTGATTTGTCGCCACAGGCATCCATATCGCTTATGTAGTTCCTCTCCTATCTGAGACGAGATCTTCAAGTTTGGAGCTTGCATCCATCCCTTTGGGTACCAATCCGTTGCCGTTGAACTGATCTGTCATCCATCATTCGTACGATGTGACCTGCTCATCGTCGTTTTTTTCTTGAAGAACTGATTCTACATTCCGTACTTTCATGCGTGTTATTTCTGATGAAAATTCGTTATAGCGTTCTCTCCATCGCTAAATACATAAATAAATGGATTTTTGTGAATATTTTACAAAATGTTTTGTTCAATTTAAGTTTGGCAACTCGTGTGCTTCTGGCGAC